TACTGGGGGTCTACTGGTTTACTGAGAGTCTACTGGTTTACTGGGGGAACATGTCACACCAGTTCATGTTTCTGTAAGCGGAGCCGTTTTTATTTCTTTCACTGTGAAGTTCTCCAGGACTTAAAGCTGAAACATGGAAGTAAAGTATTATTATGAGCTGTAATGGGATGAGTTTCCGTCCCCATCGGCTACCTTTACTGAGTACACTCAAGGTGACGTCATCAACAAACCAGGCACTCTGATTGGTCGCCGTGTGGATTCCTGAGCTGATTTCAAACAGCAGTTAAAGTCTGGAATCAAACCGGTGATTTCTCTTCTAACATCATCGCTGACTCAGGCTCTGTTGAGTCCTGCACTGAGTCCTGCACTGAGTCCTGCACTGAGTCCTGCACTGAGTGTGTTAGGCTGCATTAGTTTGAAGAAGTTCTAGCAGAACCAGCTGAAGGTTGTGAAACTAGACGGTGATTTATTTAAATCTGCACGTCAGGAGGAGAAGAGATGAGAACAGATGTTTAGTCATGTAGCTCTGGTGTCAAACACTCCATTTAGCAGATTGTCTCCAACAACTATATCAGATGAATGTGACACATTTCAGGTCTTCTTTCCTTTATTTCCTGACGCGGTTTATTCAACATGTCAGTCTCTTTAGGACTCACAGCAGGTTCCACTTCTGCGTCTTCACATTTGAAACACAGCAGATTGCAGCTTTGAACACAAAGATGCTGCAGATTCTCGTCTCTCTGTCCTATCAATTTGTTCTCTCTTCAGATTTCAGCCTTTCTATGACAAAAGAGGATGAGGAAGGAATACATGCTTCATCTTAGTGTGTGTGTGTGTGTGTGTGTGTGTGCGTGTGTGTGTGTGTGTGTGTGTGTCTGTGTGTGCGTGTGGGTGTGTGTACCTCAGGCAGCGTGCTGCATGGACTTCATGCCAGTCAGCTGGACTCATCTGGACAGAGTGATGCTCATTTGTCACCCTGCATTTGGTCTCTGCTCCCTGCTTTGACGTGTGTGTGTGTGTGTGTGTGTGTGTGTGTGTGTGTGTGTGTGTGTG